CTCACATGAGTGTGTCGCATAGTCATTAAAGGTAGGATTTGTTTCACTTGACTGACTGTCTAAAAGCTAAGTATCTAGTACAAGGCTATGGTTTTGTGAACGTCTGAGCACATGATATGACAATGCTCTGCTCCTGAAAGAAGGAAGCCTTGCTCCTCCTCCTGCCTATTTACTTGGCTCTTTGTTCCTTTCTTCTAGCCAGTACCAGCTGCCTACTTTCACTGATGATGTAGCTTGTTGGATTTTTCCCATGAGCTAGCGTGACTCACTGACCTCACAGAAAAACTGTTGAGTGTTTTCTGCTTGTTTTAAGTGTATTGGCTTCTTGAGTTAAATCAGTTCATGGAAGGGTCTGGTGGATGACAAATCTAGGAATGGGGATGAGTAAAGGAGGAGTGGAACCTCTCATTCCTGGTGGCAGTGAGCTCTTGTATTGGACTACACTTTTTCATTTGTTCATTATCTAGTCTTACTGTAGACTCTTAAGCAGGGATGAGAAGCGGTAGTGTTTGAAGAGTCACTTTCGTGAGGCTGTGCTTCCTTTGAGTGTCTCACTTGTTCTTTCAGGCAAATAGTTGTGTTGTTTCACAAGACCTTGGCTGATTCAGTTAGGAGAAAAAAAAAAGAGCACAGAAAGAGGTCTAGAGTTCTAGAGAACTTTAGTACTTGAACAAAACATGGTGCAAGGCTAAATACTGTAAATTTTTTCACCAATGGTCGCAAAATTGCATTCATTGTATCATTTCACTGTTTAGAACAGTGTTCAAATATGATAAATTTATGTGTATTAAGCGTGGCTGTGGTATGGAAAGAAGAACCATGAGTGAATTATGTATGTCACCCAGATGAATTACCAATACATGCTGAAATCATGTAGCTTGGTTATGCTAGGTAAGCTAGAAGGAAGCCTTGTTATTGTAAACAATATACAATAAAAATAGGAATTGTAATATAAATAAAAAAATTGCATTGATATCTTCATATTTTTGTCTAAATACAAGTATTCTCACTATTTCAAGTGCTTGTAGCAAACAAAAAGTTAAAATAATATAGCTGAAAAATCTTATAAAAGGAGAAAAGCCCTTTTACAATGTGTCGATATAAAGAAGAGACAGATGCGAAGCAGGCCTTTAAACATTGTTTCTCTCCGTATGAAAATAAACAATTGGAGAAGAAAGGCAAAACACAGGTGATTCTTGGAAATGGAATTGACTTCAGTTAGTTAGATACTCTACAATAAATATTGCTATTTTAGCTACTGAGTGTGCATTTCCTAGGTTTCAGAACTCTGCACCAGTATCTTCTATATGTACCTGAGCAAAATGATGTTGAGATTTCATAGTATGAATTTGGGGCAGCTGATACAAGTTTGAAGTTCTGTAACATGATAAAATTTGGCAAATATATAGGTGGACAATTAATTTTAGATGTGATGTGGTTTTAGTTTCTTAAAAGTACGTTTTCTGATTCTCTACTGCTTGAACAGATCTCTAAGAGAGGAAGAAATTTTAACTAGTGTTCCTTTAAAGTGTTTCTCAAAATTATCAGTGTAGTCTTGTGTAATTTTGAAGATTATTTAAGGTCTGTTCATTGACTGTGAGCAAGCACTGTGAGCCATTAGCACAGAAGAAATTCTTGTTAGTAATATACTTACAGTATTTGTAGCCCTAAACAGTGTTGACTATTGACAGTGCACTGGCAGAAATTATTGTATGATTTGGGGGGAAAAAAAAAGGGGTTTTATTTGTAAGAATGTGAGTAGGTTAAATATCAGAAGTTGCTATTAATGATTTCAAGGAGACAGCTCTAGTAATGAGATCTCTGTTATTGTAATTTGTTTCACAGTTGTCACCAGCAATGCAAATCATGAAACTTACCACTAGATGTCCGTGCAAGCCAAAATAGTTTTGTTCCCTTAAAAACAGACTGCTTAGATTTTTGAAGTCTGAAACAATTGTTTTCTAAGCTACAATTTCCTCCCCCTTCGTTCCTTTTTTCCTTTTTATGAAATTTTCATGCAGATGAATACGTGACAAGATGTGTGTCTTGCTTTACAATTTGTGCACTTTTTGATAGTAGCGAAAGCTGTGAGGAGAGAACATATTTCCTACCTGCAGCAGCTTGGAACTGAGAGTACAAAAGGTTGCAGTTCCATTTATCTTTTTCTTTTGGTTGATATGCTCTTAGAAAATGCCATGGGGTTTTGGTGTCTTTGACTTTTTATCTGTTATGCCACTTCAGAAGCTTGGGGCAATCCTAAGCACAAATACAGGCTGGGCAGAGAATGGATTGAGAGCAGCCCTGAGGAGAAGGACTTGGAGGTGCTGGTTGACAAGAAGCTTAACACAACCTGGGAGTGTGCACGCGCAGCCCAGGTGGCCAACCGTGTCCTGGGCTACATCAAAAGAAGCATGGCCAGCAGGGCAAGGGAGGGGATTCTGCCTCTCTGCTCTGGTGATACCCCACCTGGAGTCCTGTGGAGCCCCCAGCACAGGAAAGACATGGAGCTGTTGGAGCGGGTCCAGAGGAGGGCCACAAAAATGATCTGAGGGCTGGAGCCCCTCTCCTGTGAGGAAAGGCTGAGAGAGTTGGGGCTGTTCAGCTTGGAGAAGAGAAGGCTCTGGGGTGACCTTATAGCAGCCTTCTGGTACATGAAGGGGCCTACAAGAAAGCTGGAGAGGGACATTTTACCAGGGCATGTAGTGATAGGACAGGGGTAATGCCTTCAAGCTGAGAGAGGGCAGATTTAGATTAGATATTAGGAAGAAATTTTTCATAATGAGGGTGGTGAGGCACTGGAACAGGTTGCCCGGAGAAGCTGTGGATGCCCCCTCACAGGCAGTGTTCAAGGCCAGGTTGAATGGGGCTTTGAGCGACCTGGTCTAGTGGAAGGTGTCCCTGCTCATGGCAGGGGGCTTTGGAACTAGATGAACTTTAAGGTCCCTTCCAACCCAAACCATTTTATGATTCTGTGTATTTCTTACTCTCAAGTAAGCTGCAGGATTCAGACCCAACTTTAAATCCTGTGTTCCTAATTCTGAGCTTTGGCTTACAGTTTGGTAGTTACATTTGGTATCTGGAGCTTATGAAAGCAAAGATCTGAGACAGAGGAAAGTACTGTTGCCTAGTTGCTGGGTTTTTGTTTGGGTGGGTTTGGAGTTTTTTTTGGGGGGGGGGTGTTCTTTTTTCTTTTTTTTTTTTAAACAGTGATCATAATAACACTGTTTTGTTAGAAATTCTTAGGGATGTGCTGCCTTGGATTTTCTTTGTGCTGTCTTGTGTGTACCAGAACTTTATCCTCTCACATGGTTTATTGTCCTTAGGATCACTGACTGGTTTTCCTCATACAGCTGTTGGTTTAACAGTTGAAAATGTCTTTATATTGAGTTTGGAAATCGCTGTTCTGTGTTTCTCAACGACCGACAAAATTCAGGAATGCAAAATAGATACTGTATTGATTAGAAGGTTCTTGAGAACTTGTGCTATTACTGTTTGAAATTGGTTGTGCAGATAGGACAGTCAGTGAGGAGAATGTTCTGCATTCTTATTTCTTCGCTCTTAGCTTCTCAGCAAAATTGAGTAAAGCAGAATACAAAGTTGCAGTTGTTGCTTTGCCTATACTAGTGTTGTAACTCTGGTAGATTTTCCTCAGACCTTTTCCCATCTTAGTGGTGGAGGAAGGAAAAATGGGAAAGAAAACCTAAATGTAAGACTTTCTTGACATGATTATGTCTTTTAGTGGAATGGGCACTGACATGCAACATTTATTTTCCTATTTGAAAGATAGATTTTCATTTTGCTTATAGTTCAGGGGTTTATAAAATCAAGTGGTAAGTGTTTAAGATAGGTCCATGAAAGATTTAAAGAGTGGAATGGTAGAAAACATTGTATGTTCAATTGTATGTGTAAAGAAGGTGAGGTATTTGCAGTGATGGTGGAGATTTAACGTTTTTCGTGTTTGAGTTTCATGTTGTACAAAGTTATGCTTAGTACACTGCAAACATGGACCTCTTAGGCACCAATCCAGTTATGCTAAAATGGCAGAGTAGTTGGTTTCAAAGCTTTGTAACTTCCCTAAAATTCAGTTACAGTCCTCCCTCCCCCAGATCCCTGGGAAGTGTCAGTAATGATCAGATTAATCATCTTGCTTCTAATATTGAAAAAAACTAATGAGGCATATTAGAATACTTCCTCATTTCCCACATCTGTCGGTTTGCAGCTTTCTCACACTGATTTGGTATTGTCACATTTAACAAAACTCTTTCTGGAAGGGTCACAAGAAACAACCAGATAAACTTTGAAAACGAGGAAGTGACACTTATCAGTGATATTTCAGGGTTGAACTTTGGGCAGGTATCTTCCAGACTGTCCATGAAACCTTAACTCTTCTTCAGAGACAACTTGATAGGAATTCAACGTTGAGAATTATCTGCTCTTCTTCCAGCTGAAATGATGGTGTATGGAGTAGCACAATTTGTTAGTGTGACAGACTGTGACTGTGATAAGTAGTAGTAAAAGCTGTATGTGTCTGATGTCTGTGGCCTCTGCTTGAACTCCCGTTAACAAGCCATAATTAGAGCATTACTAGCATCATAGTTTGATTCTTAGTGTACTGCCGAAGTAAAAATAACATTTCATATAATCTGTCAGATAGAGATGCTTGTGCTTAGTTTTTTATTGACTCAAATAAGCTCCGTGTTTAAGTTTATTCCGTGCCCCTGGAAGGGGCAGGCAGAATGAGCAGAGAAGAGTTGCCCTTTCAGTAGAGGTTTCTAACCTGAGTTACAGCAGAGCCAGGATTATTCTGTACTGAAAGCAAAAGCAGCATGTGAAATCTTTGAACTGTGACTGTACTTGATTGCTAATTATATGTCCTTGTGTTTGTTCAGGTGACTTGATCTTCTGGGATGTGAGCAGAAAAAGTGGATGGCATTGTAGATTGGTTATAAGTTAATTTTTATCCTGTCGTCTCCATACTTATTGTGAACAGTCCTCATAAAATGGATGCTTTTGGCAGTCTCCTTCCCCCAGTGGTTGGAAATGGTGACACGGCTAATTCGCAAGAATTACAAAAACTTCTGATTGATGAAAAAATGCGAAGTGAACATCATAAAGCAAATTATCAAACTATAAAGGCAGAACATCTAAGGTACACTAATTTAAACAGGTTTCTTCATTTGAGTTAGAACAAGGTGAAGCTAAATGTTACGTGAAAGGAATTTATGTGTGTGTGTTAGCTACTTCTGTATTTAAGGACAGATTTGAGCATTGTTCATATTAGAAAATAAACAATTCAAAATACCTTAAGACATTGCAGACTGAGTTTCTGAAAAACATTTTATGCTTGTCAATAGGGGAGAACTTTTCAATATATTACAGGAAGAGGATAGTAATAGTTTAGTTCTAACTAAATTCTAAAATATTTGTATATTTGCTTCTGCACATGAGTTTTTTGAGCTTCAAGATCTAACTTTAGAGGGCAAATATAAAATAAGTGTCTTTTATCTTGCAGATTACAGGAGGAATGTACAAAATTACAAGAAGAACTGAAGCGGTTGTTAGTTGAAAAGCAGACTGCACATGACAAATTTCAGTTTCTTCTTGCTGAATATCGAGAGGAGTTGCTGGGTAAAACACAAGAGCTGGAAAAACTGAAGTTGCAAGTGAGAGAATTTACTGGCAGGACTTAATATGCTTTTTAATCCTGTAATAGGGCCATGTGTGTATTTCTGTTTATGTATCATGTATATACCTAGCTTGCATGCATTTCAGATATCTTGAAATTTACCTAGCCTGAGTAATGTTTCTTCTCTAGAGTGACTGTGGGATGCAATTATTGTTTTCTTGTTTAACTGAATCTTCCAAATCTTGTTGTTACACGCTATGTGAATAGTAAGACCCTCAGTCTCTGTGCATGCTCTCCTGTTACAGGGAGAATCATCTGCCCTGGAGGGTAACTTAGATGCCTGAATTTGTTTGGATAAGTGACTTGAAAAATAGGTATTTGTTTCTCTTTGTGATGTCAGCTTTCCTCATCTTAAAAAAAGCAAACAAAGAAACAAAAACAAACCCAAACCAAAACCAAAGCCCCGACATTTAAGATAACTTGGATGACACTTTCTGTAACTGCTAGTTTCCTTAAACTAGTGCAGGATGTGTTCTTAGGAAACAAACATAGTAACTAACAAAGATCCCAGACTCCAAATGGAGGAGATGTGCCTCGGTACTGTAACTAGAATTAGTTTTCAGGGACTTCAGGGTACAGATAAGTGGAAGAAAAGTAGCATAGATTAGAATATGTCACAGGGTGTGGATTAAGGGTTTTTTAACACGTTTTCTTGGTGGATAGTTTACTGTATTAGCCATACCCAAGAAAACTTAACAAAATAGGATGCAGCATGGAGCCTGAGGCATGGAATGTTTCCTGATCTTAGTTTCATTTCAAACCAGTACCCATGTATCTAATGTGTTTTACAAATAATTGGTTTGGTATTGCTCATTTTGATTTTTTGGGGGGTTGGTTCACTTACTGTTGAAGTTTTTCCAAACACTAATTCTTTATCTTTTATGTGAGACCACTTTTCCTTCCCCTCCCTCCCCCACAAAGGAGATAAATCTCTTGGCAGTTCAGTTTGACATTTGTATTGCTTCTGCCAGCAAATACTGACGTTTTGAATGTTTCTGTTATCTTCCCAGAGTATTTCTGGTTCACTAATATCATGGTTCTTTGCTTCTGTAACTACTATTGAAAATTCCTTAGAAAAACGTAGAAAATAAAGCAGGATTCCTAAAATCATATTTGAAATATTTTATTCCTGTCTGTTTGTCCTATCACAGTGTAAATAAATGAATATGACTAATTATTTATGATACCTTTCTGTCTTAAGGTGCTAACTCCTCAAAAGTTAGAACTGTTAAAAGCACAAATACAGCAAGAATTGGAATCTCCTATGACAGAACGTTATCGGAAGCTGGAAAATGTAAGTAGTAAGTATTGAAATTCTATTTCATTTAGAGTAGTGATCACGAGTTTATACTTGTTCTTAAAACATTAGGAAAATATAACTGAAAGGGGAGCAAAGTATGACATTCTTTGTCTAGTACTGTTGCCCCAGGCAGTGAAGGTGGAAACCCTAGAAAAGGGAGAAGGAGGGATTCAGTTCATCAAATGTAACTTGTGAAATGATAGGAACATTGCATGGACATCTGCAGGAAATAAATCTGAAAACTTCTCTGATGGATGGTTTTGGTTTTTTTGTCTAACTTAGGAAGTGGAAAAATACAGAACAGAATATAACAAACTTCGTTATGAACATACTTTTCTGAAATCAGAATTTGAACATCAAAAGGAAGAACACACACGTATTTTAGAAGAGAAGAAAATAAAATATGAAGCTGAGGTACACAGAATGTTACAGTAGCTTAGAATGTATCTGATGACAAAGCTGCTTGAACACTGTGAAAACGTTGGTACTTGATGGGTTGTCAGTTTGACACCATTTCGTAATGTAGTGTTTGTTTCCGTTCTGTTAATTCTCAAAACACTTTTATGACTTTGCCTAAAGCTGTCTCTGTAGGTTTGCTCAGTGATGTGTCTCAATGTCGCTTGTACTGTTATAAGTAAGAATAGACTTGCCTTCTGATAAATGACAGCCAGTAGCTTTGCTTAATGCTTTTTTTAATCGCATGTGTGATGGAGTTTGAGACATTATGGTAATCTGAAATTAATAAATTATCTGAGCAACCGATGTAAGTTTAGATTTTGAATTACTTATGTGGTAACTAGTCCAAGAAGAAGGCAGCAGAAAATGTGGTTAATGCCAGACAAGGATACATTTTGCAACTAAGTTGGATTATGACAGTGGTGGTCAAAAGGATACTGAAAACTTTGATAACTATTTCAGTTGAATAAACCATTCATGATTTTTTTTTGTTTCAGAACTGGGCTTTCAAAGTGTAGCTAAATAAATTGCCAGCTTGTTTATGTTTTAAATATATGCAGCAATGTAAATGAGTGTTGCATATGTCATTTGCATATTCATTTAAGTATTTGTCTGGAAGCATATATCCTAAAATGCCGGGTTTGAATGTATTAGTCCAAACATGAGACACAAATCAAAGCAATCATTGCTTTCAAAATCAATCCAAATTTGCAAACGCAGTGCATTAAAAACAGAACAGTTTTCCTTCCCTGAGCTAAACCCACATGCTGCTTTACAGCCTGTCTCTCTTGTGGGCTTATTGAGTTTGTGCTAGTCCTGCAGCTAATTAGCACACTGACAGAGAATGAAACTACCTTGAGCTGAGGGCGCAATGTGCTCTAGTTTCTCTGTCTTAGAGTCTTTTTAATCTTCCATACCATTTAGCACAAGGAGGGTACAAAAACATCCTAATTCTTAAATGATGGCTTGGGCATGTCATGCAAGAAGTGTTTGAATATCCGCATAAAAGCAATTTGGAGGGCTTTTGCTGCAGAAATTGGCTTGGCTGCATAGAGATCACTGATGCAACTTCTAAAAGCACTGCTGCAGATCAGAGTTTGGACTATTCTTCAAATATCAAGACAATTCTTACATACCTTACTTTCTCACTGTTTTGCCCCCAGTATTACATTCAGTCCACATAACTAATTTTGAAACACTAGAATCTACATATTTGTAATATATTTGTTAGTTACAGTCTCGAGATCAGTTTGTACCTATCATACTACTTTGTAACAGAAAGATGGGGTGGTTTTTGCTTTATTTTCTGTCCGACAGGGCCCAATCATGTTGGCTGTCTTGAGTTACTGGCAGATTTGGGTTCTGTTGTGCTTATAGAATTGTGGAATCATAGTATAAGTTGAAAGAGACCTCCCTCTAGTCCAACATCCCACTTAAAATATTGAATAGCTCAGGGCCATGTCCAGTCAGGTCTTGAACATCTGAGAGGATGGAGATTCCACAACCTTTCTGGGCAAACTATTCCAGTATTTAACCATCTTCATGGTAAACTTTTCTCCTAAAATCTAATTGGAATTTCACATGTTCCAACTTGTTTCCATTGCCCCTCTTCCCATCATCGTGCATCTCCTTCTGTTCTCCAAGCTGAAGAGGCATAGTCTCTCAGCCTGTCCTTATATGTCACGTTCCCCAACCTCTTAACCATCTTGGTGACTGTTCACTGGACTTGCTCCAGTCTGTCATTATGCTTCATGTACTGGACACAAACTCCAAATGCCGTCTTACAAGTACTGGAAGGGGACAAAGGATCACTTCCTGGATCACTAGCTATCCTTCTGTATATCTACCAGGGTGCAGTTGGTCATCTTTGCTGCAAGGTTATGCTGCTGACTGATGTTCAACTTGTTGTCCACTAGGACCCCCAGATCCTTTTCCGTGGAGCTGCTTCTCAGACAGTTGCCCCCAGCATGTACTGTTCCACTTGGTTACTCCATCCCAGATGCATGATTTGTACTTGCTCTTGTTGAAGAGGTTCCAGTCAGCCCATTCCTCCAGCCTGTCCAGATCTCTCTGAATAGCAGTTCTGCTTTCCAGCACATCGACCATTTCCCCCCAGTCTGGTGTCACCTGCAAGCTTGCTGAAAGTGTACTCCATCCCATCATCCAGGTCACTAACAAGGACATCAATCAGTATTGGACCCTGCACTGATCTCAGAAAGACCCTGCTAGTTACAGGCAGTCAGCTGGGCTTCGCAACATTGGTCATTGCCCTTTGAGCGTGGCAACCCAGCCAGTTTTCCACCCACTTTATCATTTACTCTTTCAGCCCAAATCTCACCAATTTGGTGAGAGAGAAGGTTATGGGAGACTGTATCAAAGGCCTTGTTAAAATCAAGGTATACAAGATCCACTGCCCTCTCCTTGTCTGCAGTGCCAGTCACTACTTTCTAGGAAGAAGAGAAGTAGGTCAGGCATGATTTGCCCTTGGTAGACCCTGCTTTCCATTACCTTGTCTTTCATGTGTTTAGAAATGGCTTTTAAGAGGTTTTGCTTCATAACTTTTGCAGAGACTGATGTGAAGCTGACTACGCTTTAGTTATCTGGACCCTTGACCTTCTTGCTGTTCTTGATGATGGATGTGCTGTCTGTCTCTTTCCAGTCATCAGATCGCCAAGACTTTTCAAAGATGATAGAGAATAGCCTTGCAGTGATACCAGTGAGCTCCTTCAAAATGCTTGGATGCATTCCAAGGACTTGTGTGTGTCCAGTGGATTAAACGATCCCTAGCATTTTCTTCCTCTACTCTGGGTACTGCTTTACTCCCACAGATTGCTGGGGGGCTTAGAGACATCTGAGACCCAAGGACAGGCCTTATCAGTGAAAACTGAAGCAAAAAAGGCATCAAAGAATGAGTCTGTTGATTTTCCTACTCTAAGAAAGAAATGTGAATGTAATTTCTTAATATTTTAAATGCACACTGCTGCTCTTTCCTGAATTGTCAACTGCTGTATTTGTTGCTGTCTGACACCTAAGCAATGTAAAAGCTTCTATTTTTCTGATTAACAACTATCAGATTGCAAGGCTGGATAAAGATAAAGAAGAACTCCATAATCAGCTGCTTAGTGTTGATCCCACGAGGGACAGTAAACGTGTGGAGGCACTCTCTAGAGAAAAGGCACAACTTTATCAGAAGTTGAAAGGCTTAGAAGCAGAAGTTGCAGAACTAAGAGCAGAAAGAGACAATTGTGGTGTGCAAGCAGAAAATGTTCAAAGAGTACAAGTACGACAGTTAGCTGAGATGCAGGCTATGACAAGGTCTCTAGAGGTAAGATGACTCTTTTTTTTCCTTTTTTTTCTTTTTAAAATTTTGCCTCCTTGTAGAGCGTACTGAGAGTAACGCTTGGCCTGATGAAACTGTCATGAAGTCCCTGATCATTTTGCCATTGACTTCATAATTTGAATTTGTACATTTCAGATTTAAAACCACATTGTAAGTACATTGGGAGTCATGTACTGCCAATTCAACTTTGGAAAGGTGGAAAGCTCAAATGAGATTCTGTTAAATGATCCTCTTTCTAAACATGCGAGTGATATCCATGTTTGCAGTCAGTAAGAGGGTCGTGTCACCACTTGTCACTTGGCTGGAGTTAGAAACTGACCACAATATGTTAATAATCTGCTACAGTAAATTTTTTTATTCTTTTCAAAAATGTCATATGATGGTCCCCTGGTTCTTTCAAGTCAATAGCAAGAGACAGCACTGCTCCAAAAATTTTACAAATACGTCCTTTCTTCAAGGCAGAAAAGAAGTCTGCTGAACTGCAGATCGATCGAATTGAGAAAGAACTGCAGATGAGTCATGAGCAAAACATTCTCTTAACTAGCAAACTTCACAAATCTGAACGAGAAGTCAGTTCCTTAGCTGCTAAAGTAAGTGCATTTATGGTATCTGAAATGCATTTTTCATATCCTGTTACATTTAAGTTTTTCTGTTTGTATTTTACATGAAGTGATGACGTCTTACGCTGTGACTTAAAATAGGTTTGGGGTTTTTTTGCCAATTTCAGTTGGAAGATACAGAATATGTGACTTTACAGGAAAAATGTCATCCCTAAAAGTACCTTTAGAGGTACTAGATTGTGGTTATGGTCTTTTTATTTCATTTTTCTGGATTCATTTTTTAGATCTTTTTTCTAAACAGAACAGGGCTTGAAGAGGTGTCTTTATATTCATGTTTTTAGTACTCAGGAAAATAGCCAGTCTTATTTGATGGGAACAGACATTGCTTTTTCATAGTGTGTAAAGTCCAATAGAGCTTTAAATTGATTTTTTGTTGTTGTTGTTTTTATTTTTCAAATGGAGCTATGGCTTCTGTAGATCTTAAAAAGTATCTTCTGAACGGGCTAGGTTAGCTACAGGAAGCAAGCTGCATTGCAGTCACCTGCGGAGATTGAGGTTGTGTTAGAAGCAGGACAGTCACATTAGCTCAGCGTTCTTCCTGGGCTAATGCCAGCAAGCTTGTACAGAAACATTTCTGTACAGCACTGCATCATTTTAAGTAGATCATTGTCTTGCAGCATGCTTGCGTGTCTTAGTTGTTTGCTTGGCACCGGATCTTAGAGGTTTTTGTTCTATTTTGCATGCTTTTTTTTTTTTTTTTTTATATCTTAGAGAAATTTTGAGAAAAATATTTAAGGAAAAAAAGATCAGAAGGTTTCTAGTTTAGGGAAAACTTATAAGTGCTTAAGAAACTTGACATCACTCTTTAGTATTTCAGCATAATTAGGTTAGTATAGATGCCAGATTCGGAGTTTTATCTGGTTGCAGTGACTCCTCAGCTACACAACTTTAAAAAGACAGATCCTTTATGCAATTTCATGTGTGTTTATTTCACTGAACAAGAAAAATTGAAACACTAGTAAACCGTTTTGCCTTCAGATGTTGCAGAATACTTACATTGCTTTATGTAAATTTGAGTCAGGATACTAGTCCTAATGAAATAGTTAATTGGGTGAATTTTAGCTTTATGCTGTCTCTTACTAGCTTCTTTCTGGAGAGAATACCGGGTAATAAATTTTGATCACATTTGTCAGTTCCTGGTAGCAAATTGAATCCCCTGTGTTTTCTTACCTTTCTAGAGAGGCTACAGTTAGTTCTGAACTAACTGTAAAGCCAGTAACTTCAGTCTTCTATATCTAGCTGAATGCAGAATTATTTTAAGCTCTCTGTTGACTTAAAGCTATCCTGCATTTCTGAATATATTTTCCAAAGCAACACTGACATGTGCTTTGTATGGGTACAGCAGTTAATATTGTCTCAACAATATGCCTCAAGAAAGGTACAATACAGGAAGAAACCTTTAACTTCTACTATAGTCATTCTTTAACAGTCTCAGATTTAATTCAAAACAGGCTTTACAATGCACATTTATGAGTGTGAAGTAGTTAATTTTGGTCCTTAATCCATAAAAGTTCTATTTTACCATAAGAATAGGATATACCTATACCAGTATTTAAAGCCTTTTTATACAATGTGTCATACTTGTCTCACATGAATAGTAAATAGGAGGGGGAAACTTCTGTTAAACACTTTTTAATGAATTGTCTATCAGAATATATAGAAGATTGTTACAGACTTTATTTTTTGTATCAACTTATGTTCTCTGCTCACCTCCAGAAGCAGGAGAAAATTAAAATGTTCAGTGGTGTTTCCTGAAGGAAGTAGAAACTAATTTCTGTAGTAACCTCCACCACCTTCTGCACCCGTTCAAACTTATCCTGAGCACAGGTGCACACATTTGTCTTCTGGATTTTGTGCCTTAAAAAAGCCACCTTAAATCAATGCAGGTTGCCCTGAAATGTTCTCAGCTTAGTATTTAAGCAACCAAATCCACCGTGTAGTTACTTAATAAGCTACTATGTCATTCTTAACCTTTTGCCACTCGTATATGCTAGCAGGTTGTAATTACATTTGTCATTGTGAATGGATTTTCATTATAAGTGCTTTCCTCTAGATACTTAATTCTCATTGACCGTGTAATTACTGCATACTAATGCCTAAACTATAGAAAGTTTCCATGCAAGCAGTAATTGTCTTTGATTTGATGTTCTTAAAGCTCCTGCTTTTATGAGTCCATTTGATGTGTATGTCATAGTTGTAGAGAAGTATTTTATTTAAAATGCACTTTAATACTATGACAGCCTGGATTTTGAGACAGTGGTATAGCACTCCAGAAGGTCAGGGGGACTATAAGTAGTAATCAAATTTAAATTACTTGGAGGAGCAATTGATAATCTGGTTTTGCATAGCACAGTTTTGTTTTACTTAGGGAGATTAAATTTATTTTAGCTTGACTCTGAGGGATCTTTAGTCAGCAGTGAAGTATGTGTAAACTGACATGCTAATGCTTGAGTTAGCGAGGCATAAGAGTCTTATGCAATTTGGATCAGTGTCGTATCAACAAGATATTTCCAATGAGTGGTCTTTTCAGAAATACCCCAATATTCAGAGGCTAGCTTGTAGAATGTATAGTATTTACTCAGCAACCAGGTTTTCACAGGCAGTCCCGCACATCTGTGCATACATTACCAAGGCTTCTTAAAAGAGTGACTTTTCTACACTGTAGCTTGTAATAACTAGATGGTTAAAGACGAAATACATGTCACAAGTCATATAGCCTGGGTCCTAGAAGATATGTTGTGTTTGAGCACTTCAATTTTTTTGATCACGGAATATACAAAACTTGCATTTCAAGATGACTGACAACTCATTCAATAATCCTCAGTGTGTGACTTCAGGAATTAATAAAAAGCTGATTATGATTTTGGGAATCAGATCATGTCAGTAGCTTTAGTGTTACAGTATATATGTAATCACCATTAAAAATTATCTGCAAGAGTGGATATTCTGGATTGACTTCAGGAAAGCAGTGGAGGAAAAAAATATTTAAGGTACATTTAAAATAAGTGTAGTCCATGATTATTTGTCAGGTTTTCTTGTTAGCAAAGTATCACATGAAAAACTTACAGTAAAGCTGCAACTATGTATATTTATTGTAGTTGATTTGAGTGCTTTTTTCTAACTCATAGGTGGAAGAACTTAAACATTCACATAAATTGGAAGTAACAAATGTCAAACTGGAGGCAGCAAGAACAAAGAGTGAGGTAGAAAGAGAGAGAAACAAGATTCAAAGTGAAATGGATGGTAAAATGTGCAATTCATTTCTAATGATTTCTTTTGTAACTTTTAGTTAGAATACTACAATTATTTTTCCTCCAAATATTCCCTGACAGCCTTCACCTTCTACTTCTGGTCTAGGTCATAGATCTGACAATTCATTTTGTATCTGAAATAACAGTATTGATTCACTTGGTCTACTAGGTTAAGAAGATCAGTTACAGAACAGTTTTGCATTTATGTAAATCAGTGAATTTGTGACACAATTTGAGCATAATCTGTTTAAAACCATGTACTTCATATGGTTATTTTTTCTGTTATTGCCAAATTGTAGAGTTTTTCACACTCTGCTTGAAACCTTAACGTACCATAGGGCTTCAGTGGTTGTTTTGTTTTCTGGTTCTGTGCCTGTGGAATTTATAACAATTGGGTAAGTCTGCCACGTGAAACAAAATACAATTGCTAGCTCGTTATTTGAAGAAAATAGACAATAGGCTACCTAATACAGCGGAGTATGTAGGCAACTTGAAATAGCTTTCTAGAGTGAAAAGGCCAAAGCTTTCTAATGCTAGTTATGTGTCGATGATTTAAATCACTGCACAGCTTTTAAGTGGACCATCCTCACCCATTTGCCATAACCCTAAAATAGTACCTTTGTCTTCCTGGAATAGTTGTTTCTGTTCACTTGCTTTAATATTAAGTTCTCTAAGAGCAACTAATAAGTGGTGCTTTCTGTATTGACAATGCACTTACAGTAAGTATGTTGCGAACTAAAACTGTTGGCCCCTATGAAATATGAAACTAAATACAGACACAATTTAAGCTAACCTGAACTTGCTGTGGAATTCAGTTAGCATCTGTGAATTAACTGAATAACGAGGAGTCATTGTTACAGCATGTTGGCTTATTTGCCAGTGAACACCAGTGTCTTGGTCACGAGTTTTTAATTTGCATCTTTTGTCCCTGTCTATAGAGGCGTAATTTTAGAATTGCCTCATTTGGTAGTATAAGTTGATTAAAACGGGAAGTTTTGTTGTAGCCAGGTTACTGCAGTTTCACTGGAAACCAGTTACTGTTTACCATAAACTTTTCCATAAAAAAGAATATAACAAAAAAGGCCATGTCTTTTCCGTTCTTCTTGGTTTTTTTTCCCCATTCATTCATTCATTCATTCATTCATTCTATTGTGTGAATTGTGATTTTTAGCTCCCTTTTATCAATTTATAAAGTTATTTTAATACTGGATTTCATCAGGTTGATATAAATAATAATCACGTTTTAACTTTTTTTAATGTATAATGCAGGATTGCTGTCAGACAAGGAAATTCTTAAGGCAGCTGTTGAACGTCATAAGGTGCTTTTAGTAGAAAAGGATCGGGAGCTAATTCGTAAAGTGCAAGCTGCCAAAGAGGAAGTTTTTGAAAAAATTACAGCCTTACAGGATGAAAAGTATGTTTGTTGATTTACCGCTCAACTTCTAAAAGAGGAATGTTTTGAGTAACTTTTTAAAATGTCATTCTTAGCAGCTAAACACTTCTGGCATTTTCTCATGATTCTTGTGTGCATGTTGAATGACGTCTCAGGTTAGAACTCGAGAACAGATTAGCTGATCTAGAGAAGATGATATTGGAGCAAGATGCTTGGAGACAATCTGAAAAGGATCAATATGAAGAGAAACTACGTGTTGTACAGATGGCAGAAGAATCTAGCAAAAAGGAACTTCAGCGTTTGCGGTAGTGTGGCTTTTCTAACCTTAACACAAATTTCTCATTTCCACCCCCCCCCCCCCCCACAAATTTCTTTACAGTAGTCGGTATAAAAGTTTACTGTTTATAGACATGCAAGTGTTTGTTATGGTAAATTAAACAAAATCATCTTTTTCATTGTGTAAAAAGGGCAGAATTAAAAATGTGCTGTTTAAAAAACCAAACCAAACCAAAACCCATTTTTCATCCAAACCTTTAAAATTATACGATTTTAATGAACATTTTAAAGACATAATTTTGCAATACTCATGTTTGTTAAAATTGGGTCCATGTTGGCTGCTGGCATAGCCCCAGCGTTAGAGTAAACCATTTCTCTTTCCAGAATGGCACCATATCAGCAATTGGCAACCTGGGACCCTACTACGATTGTCTCTTAGAGCTGGTTATTCTAGTTCTCAGTGAAGTTGTTTTACTATAGTATTTGTGGGAAGGTCAGTGTGATAAAATGAGCAAAAGTCATACTCCAAAAGCAAACAAATCAGTGTATTTTTTACTCCTATGTGAATTTTAATAATCAATAAAAATATTTTTTTAATCATTTAGTTAAATACTTATCAGCCTTTCAAATTATGCAATATATTCTGTTGTCACACTGATTTGTCCTAACTTCTAACATCTATATTTTGATTAGATAAAAATAAGTGTATCTTATACAATTTTAGATTAAAAATTCAACAGCAAGCTATTCAGGCAGAGGAACTGGAAGAAAAGAAATGTGAAAGTGCTGATCTGAAACAGGTAAGGTTTTATTGCATTGTAATATTTTATAAAGAAATACAATCTTCCCTGCAGTTGCCATGTCCAGTGTTTGAAGATTAGATTGAATTTTTGAGGCTTTTTTTTCCTAGAGGGACAAAATGCATAGAACAGATATTTAAAAGCAAAAGTGTTCAGAATTCAGTCATGCTTTCCTGGACCTTTATAGATGGATTACAGCTTTTCGCTTCATGCGTTTTGTGGGTACCGAGGATTTCAAAGCTGAGTGTTTATAGACTGGTATGTTGAATACGGTTATGAACTATTTAACTGGAGATTCAGTTTCCATGGAGACTTATAAATTGTTTCTAGGTAATGCTTTGCATTTACACTGCATCTCTCATCTGAGGTTTTTCAAGAGCTTAACAGATGTTTCATAAATGAATAAACCAGTGTAAAGAGGTATATTTCTATTAAAGAGTGAATTGATGGCAGTGTTGAAAATAAAATGTAAACTCCTACTCACCCATGATGTTACTTCGTAGGTGAGAATATAGCTGTGCACCAAAGGAGTCCATAAGCTGTGTGCATTTCAGGTTCAATAGTTTGTTTCCTCCAGAAATCAGACATTGGGGTATCTGAGTGTGCACGTGGGGAGAGGAGAAGGAAAGGGAAATCATCCTTTCTAAGTGCTGGCTGCAGATCTCTGACTCCATGCTTACTTGTTTTTGTGAGCTGGTTGGCATAGCCGCTGTGGGCTGTAAAGCATTGTCGCTTAGGAGAGGGAAGAGTCTGGGTAGCTCCACAGCTCTGCTACCAAATGTGGTGTGGTGCTCTGGTGCTCTTCAGCCTTGGGGCTTAACTTTCTGGGGGACACATCAACAACTGAAGACTCTGCCTCCCTTTCTCTTTCTCAAAAACTACAGTAGAAAACCTGCTTTGTCTAGCAGTGATTTACTCTAAAACTTCTGGAGAAGCTGTTGAGTAAGGAGAAAAGAAACGAAGAAAGGCTTATGAAAAGCTAATGCAGCCTTTTGGTGTCTGCATTGTGCTCTATCTCAGTATCTCAGAATTAATTGTTAGTTATTTGCATACCTTCTCAAATGGAAAAATTTCATTTTTTATAGCAAATTCACAACATGCAACTCCAACTTGCCTCAGTTTCTCAATCAGAAAATGATTTGCTCGAGTCTAATCAGAAGCTGAAGGAAATAATAGAGAGATTGAAACAAGAATGTCAACATGCAAGGACTCAGGCAGAAAAAGCTCAGCTGGAAACAGAGAAGTAATTTTTTTCTTCCCTTTGGCTTTACTTTTCCTTTTTGTATTGCTTGTGTTTCTTTCTTGTGGATTACTTAACTATGGATTGTACTTTCTGAATAAAGTCAGAAATTAAAAATGAACAAGAAATATTGGACAATTGTAAAAAATGACTATACTTTCTATTATGCAGTGTGTATAAATGCTTTGCTTGTGGTAGCTTTAAAAACAGGAGTTTGTTTCCATTCATGTCTGTTACAATTAGTTATTGACTAGTGAAATATACTATTTGTATAAAAGTCCTATTTACACTGAACGGAATCTGAAACATATTAGTTGAAGTGGATCTAGAGTTTCAACACAAAGTTCTTTTACGAGCATTAAGGGTGAAAAAAGCATTTAAGCATTGTATTATGCTTTGATGAGGGACCCTTTCCGTATATGTGTGTATATACTTTTTTCCCCACCTCTCACTAGGTCTTTTAGCTGATACTAAATAATAAAATCTTACTGGATATCTTCTAGTTGCTCTCATCAAAATTAAAAAAAAAACCACTGTCCTTTTTTGCACAAGCTTGACCACATACCATCAAAATATGCTAATAAATGCTGAAGGAAACGAAATCTTGTTCAGGCTCCTTATACCAATGAACACTTTCCTGAAATTTAAAGATCAATTTGTCAGTGTGAAATGGTTATTTAGTATTTCCTAGCCTAATAACTAAATACATGTCTAACTTGTACTAGATTATTGTGGTGGGTCTTTAAAAGAGTCAGCATCCCAGATAGAAAACTTCCAAAACATATCATGTGGCATATTTTAACTTCTCTTCTGCTATGAATTGGTACTGCAATTGCTTTGTTGTCGTTAGTTGAAGTATTGCTTTTTGATTTGACATTTGAAGAAATTACTGCATTGGGACTGCAGAGTACATTCAAGTGTCAGCAGCATGTTAAATAATTTGGATGTTTACTTTAGGAAGGTGTGTTCATATTTTGAGTGAGATTGTCACTGTTATTTGAGTGAGACCGTCAATGTCTTACATATTTATGGGCCATACACAAGTCAGGAGTAGGTTTTTCTGGGCAGGCAGTGGAAGAAACGTGGCAGTCCTCAGACATCATTGTGTAAGTATGTAGACAATGGGAGATGCCCCAAGGCTGGTACTGCAGAAATCAAGCAGCTTTGCAGCCTAGATGTAAGCCCTCCAGGTCTGTCCTGCTGTTACCCTAGGAGCCTTGGGTCAGGTTTCCAGTCTTCTTTTGGCTCTTTGGGTGACAGGGCTTCCTTCCTAGGAAGTTCAGCAATTCTTATGAGCTTGAACTCCAAGAGTTAAGTCGCACCAAAGCAACTTGGCTTAAAGAGGAAGTGAAATAAGGACCAAAAGATAAGAAAGCCTAAGATAAAAAGTTTCAGATAAATAAAATAATGCCAGTAGAGCCGTAAGTAGGCGAAGCTGTTGCCTGCCTGGCTGTGTCAATCTTAGGCTTGGAAACGAAAATGTGAAATGAGAAGAAGGGCTGAAGGCGAACTGTGTGAGACTGATACAGATCAGAGCTAAGCTCAGACAGACACTTGTTAAGCATTTCAGGAACAGCCTTAGTGGCATTTAAAAAAAAAAAAAGAAACTTATGGCATTTTTAACCACTGTCTCCACTGAAGTTCTTTTACTGTTAAGCAGTGCTTTTCGAGAAAGCTCTTTGGTTCCTGCGTAGTAGTAGTTATTTACAGTCAACAGCAACGTACAAACCATGCTGGGTCTACTGAAAGAACTGTGATGGGTACCACGTGGGCCAGGGTCCTGGTGCTTGTGTGAGAGTGGATGATTCCTAGTGCTTCTGCTGTGGGGAAGGGAAAGGTGAGGAACTGATGGGGATTCATTCAGGGGCCCTGCAGGGCAGCTGCAGCAGCCCAGGACTGGAGTGGTATGGATGCACTGATACCCAACCTTGGTTTGCATTTCTTAAAAACTGTTGGTTTTTTTTTTGTTTTTTGTTTTTTTTATAGTAATGTAAAGTATGCAGTTGGTTCTCATCTACTTTGGCCCACAATGCAGATAGCCCAAACAAACAAGGCAGCAGAGAGAAACTGGCTCCTTTCCTATCCACTGCTAGAGAACACAGCCTAATTTTAGTACGTTTCAAGCATGCGAAGGCCTGAACAGATAACACATGCTGTTGGCGGCATGTGTTCAACTGGAATGTTGTCTGGGAACCGTATCAGTGGGAGCTTCCTGTTGTGTAGGCATTTGTTCTGGTCGGGAGCACACAGCAGTCGAGCCTGTACTACTCTGTTACAAAGGCGTAGTACACTGCACAGGGTAGCAACCTGTTATCTTGCGCCCCAGCTCTGAAACAGAGATGGTAGTTGTCAGCTCTTCTGACAACTGGTGTTTGGCGTGGGTGCCTACCTTTGTGTTCCAGTGTGAGTGTTTGATCTGAATTTAGATATTTTCCATGGATGCTTGATTTTTTTTGCTGCAAAACCCCAGGCAGCCAAGAATTAATTACTTTCTTTCAAAATCTGCCTCATAGTTGAAGAAAACTTAGGGTGTTGCTAATGCACAGGTTCAGATGTTATTAGTCACAATTAGATTGATAGCACAATCAAATTTAAATCAGATCCTTCAAGTACAGAAAGGTAGGAGGTGTGAAAAGATGCATCTATTCTAAGAGCCCTAAGGCATTAGTTGAAAGCACTGCTTTGTCTATGTAACCTCTTATTCTTTTAACCTGTTTTTTTCAAAGGACTTTAGAATACAAACGTATTGAATGGCTGGAGGAGAAGCACTTGCTTACTCAGCGCATCACAGAGAAAGAAGAGAAATACAACCAAGTGAAGAACAAGCTGTGTCGAGCTGCTGTTGCTCAGAAGAAGGCAGGTTGACTCTTCCTTTATGAATCGTCCAGCTTATGAAAAGTTCAGCTTTACTTTGGCCATCTAGAATTGTTTCACTATTAAGAGTTTACTTGCAGTCTACTGTATATTACAACAAAATATATCAAGTTTGTCAAGATTAGAATTGAAATAAGATGCAGTAATATGCAAAAGAGTATTACAGCCAACAACTTTTTTATAATGCCATCAAAGATTTGATGAGGCTTTTTTTGCATGTGTGCGTGTGCGTGCATACGGTTCTTTAAGAGGTGGACTCCTTGGTTGGTAAGGATTATCTTTTCAATGCTAGATGAATGTCGTTCTACTTTTTCTTGATGGAATAGTAAAATGTTATATCTTCTAAGCTTGCTTTTTATGAAATAACTTGAAAGGAAAAGCTGATTAATTGTTTATAAAAGCTCAAGATTAATTGGCAGTTTTCTACATTGGACATATACAGGTTGTGAAACCTATCAGTAGCTTTTAAGGTTGTAAAACTTCTGAGGTCAACACAAGGAAAAAAAAAAGAAGAAAGCATACATTTTTTTTTGGTCATGTTTATTTATATCTGGTCATTTAAAGAACAGTTAGTGTTTGTTAGTACAGTTAGTCACTGATCAGTGAGGGACTGACAGCTGTGCATCTCTGTCACAGCTATGGATCATTTCCCATCTCTTCTGTTTCCCATCATGGGGATCAGAACCTCCAACCAGCACAGCACCACTTCTTAAGGAAGGAAAATCACAAAAACCGTCACAGCTTGAAATGATGTACAGGCTGGATTTAATTTTTGCAGCATCTAATGTATCAAGGCGTTACTTAGCTGTTTGAAATGTCCGTTTGACAGAGAAAGAGTCTCAATGATAATAAACAAAGGAGGATGCAAGAGAAACTAGAACTTTTGGAAGCCACGATAGAAGAACTAGAAAAAGAAAACCAGGTGTTAAACAGGTAATAAACTTTGCTTAGCTTGAAAAATGATACATGCCCAAGATCTGACTTACAAATATGAAGCATTTTTGAAGATACGTGACACTTAGTTTAGTAACTGGAGTCTGGTATAAGGGCAGTTTCAGCACCAGGGTGCTTTGAATGGAGTCCATTCAGGATGGGCAGTGGAGAGCTTATAAGACAACTCCAGGGCTGTCTCTTCAGAAAGAAATAGAGGAAAAATATCTGATAGATGCAGTTGCAGGAATCCCTTTGAAAGAAGGAAGTGAAAAAGACTTCAGAATTGCAAGAGAAACAGACTTAGCATCCTCTTTGAAAGACAAACTCTTATTTTTTTTCTCTTCATTGAGCACCTATGGGAGGGCTTGATTCAAGTGATTAATTTAATGTGGCTTCTGTGGCTCACTGCTGTGAATGCTATTAAAAGCTTTATTTATTCCATGCAAATTCTAATCTGTAATACAGCAGATAGCTTGATATGTAGAGGGACTTCTAGACAGAGATTTCGGCAGAAGAATATACGCAGGTCTTCCAGCTTCCAGTTCTTTGTGGTATATAGTTTTCCCTCAGAGGGACAGTAAACAGCGGAGTGTTTGCGGAGAGGCGTGCTTCTGTGTTGGATAATAAAGACTTTGAGCAGTAAGAAATCTCTTGTCTCCTAGGCAGAATGTTTCCTATGAAGAATACGCACGCCTTCAGAAGAGACTAAAGGACTTGCAGCGTAGGCACAATGAATTCCGGAGTTTAATTCTCAATCCTAACATACCATCACTCAATCCCGTCACTACAACGTCATCATTTGCTTTTCCTCCTGGGCCTGAAGTGTCCTTCTCCCTTCTTCAGGTGGTGATGTATTACAAGTTGTGAAAATGACACAACAAAGAGGGTACTGGAACAGTCATTCACTGCAGACCTTGGTCGTAAGGAAGGAGTATCTGATCTTTGAACAGAGAGAGGAAACTTTAAGGAATGCTTCCAGTGGCGTTCCCTTCCTTGCAATAGGAAGGATCTTGAAAGGCAAACGATACGTTACAGAATGTAACAGACAGGCAGTGCTAACCCAGTTCTCCATACTTTGTCCTTCCGAGAGGCTTTAAATGGCTCCTTCCAGGCAAGAAACACCATAGCGGTGTTCTCACACCATGGTTCTGTTATTAAAAAGCAGTGTTGCTGCTCCTGATTGCCTGTGTGGTTAAAGGAGTTTTACTTACTTCGGTGAGCGGCTGAGGGTGAAAATCTCTCTGGCTGAGGCTGACCAGGCGGACTGGGCAGATTCGTGGTAACTGTGACCTCAGGTCCGCGAGCCTCTCCTGGGAGGAGGCACGCCTGTGCGCTGTATCTTGTCGAGGCTGTTCATCATGAACGTCAGAACAATACCCACAAAACTCCGAGGAGTAAAATTTAACGAATAGGGATACTTTGTACTTCACAATTTTAATTTTAAAATCATTAATTAAAGAAAATGCAATTATTGCTCATTTTGGTCCCTTGTAGGGGTGCAAAATGTAATAGAGCCACTTTTAATTTTTTTCTTTTTAATTTCAAGGAGGAACAGCATCAAAGAGAGCTTTCCCTGCTCCGCAAGCGGCTGGAAGAACTAGAAACCACACAGAGAAAACAGCTGCAAGATCTTGGGCCGTCTAGAGAGCGAGCAATGGTGGGCGCGTACAGGGGCTTGGCGGGAAAGAAGGTCGCTGGAGAAGGCAACGCACAAAGTGAGGACTCCAAGTGAAATCTGCAAACTCTGCACGCTGTCAGTTTTCAGTAGCTTATCCTTTGTGTACAAGCTTTTAATATTTTGCCAAAACCATGCTTGTATGGGCCTGAAGAGCATAAAATATATTCTGCATAGTTTTGTATTTATTTTTGAAAGACTGTCATAAATTGTCAAATATAATGGTTAAAAACAAAAGCATCGAAAGATTTAAGTACATTTTGAAATGTTTTTATAGAAGTGATGTAAATTTATTTGAAAGTCATAACGTATGAAATAATCTCATCACACGAAACTTAAAAAACATTTTGTCAAGGTTTGGGTGGTGCTGACATTTAAAATAAAAACAAAAATCAGATTTTTCTGATAAAGCCTTTAAAACTTTTTTGATAATACCCTCTTATTTCTTCAGTGTAGAAGTTACTGTGTCAGTGTGGAGTGTCGCTGGGTTGCTGTTTTGGTTGTTAAAAATGCTGTAGTCCACACTGGGATTGTTATTTTGAAGTTCCCATGCAGGTAAGAGAGGATGGAATGAAATGGAAAAGGTGCTGAAAACTTTTTATTTGTTACCCTTGACAATGTGCCTCTTGTATTTTTATAATGGGAATAAGCAATAATCAGGTTTTTTAATTTAATGTTGTAGAAACGAAGCCTAACAAATTGCCTTCACATTATGAAAATGTAAGTTTGTGTTTGTTGCTACTGTAATTTACTTACATTCAACCTTGAATAAATAATTTTATTGTAGTTAGTTATTTGAACTTTTTCTTCCCCTCTCATTATCAGTTTAGTAACATAAACTTGTAAAGAATCAACTCATTTTTATAACTTGGTATGAAAACTTTCTTGGAAGTATAGAAATGATTTTATCTGGGTTTTTTGTGGTGTTTTGGTTTGGGTTTTTTTTCCCAAAACATACTGCAGTGAAAGTTTGAGACGGTGAGCTGTGCAGTGCGATTTCTTCTCATAGCTTCTTGGGGATTGTCATCAGGCTGTAGTAACAGACAACCGAGTAACCACACTGCGTGTGGCGACGTCGTTGTCATCGGTTTCCCTGTTCTCCCAGAGGCTGATGTTTGGTTTCCCACAGAGCACGTCGGTGCAAGGGTCGTACTGCGCGTCCCTGGGGACGTTGTTGGACTGCTCTGAGGAACGCGGCGTAACGCCTCGCAGTGACAGAGCTATTTCTGCTGTCTCTGGCAGGATTGCTGCGGCAGGAGGAGCTCTCCGTGCCAGAGCCCACTGTGCCAAATGGGATGCTCGCCAACGCGTGCCAGCCTACGATGGCTGCCAGGAGCCCCGTGCTTCTGTCCCTGATGCTGGTTACGTGGCCGCCCACGAGCCTCCTGCCTGGTGCCGGAGGGCAGGGAGGGCACTTTACACAGACTGGGGAAGCCCTGGAGGGCAGAAGGGTAACAGCAGGAGGAAGAAGGATGGGTGTCTGCTGGGCTGTTGGCTCCCCTTCCCAGTCCCTCGCAGGCTCTTTGCTCAAGAGAGGTGATTTCCTGCCCCTGCAGCACCCTCTCCTGAAAGAATCGTTACCAGGTTATCCTCGTTTTTAACATTTTTAGGTTTTTAAAAGTATCATCATACTCTGAGCCTTACAGCAACAGAGCGGGCGCTGTGTCTTCAGCCTGGCTCCGGCCTGCACCGCTTCCCCGAGGCGGGAA